TCGTTACACGCCATCCAGAAACAACACATGGTTATGGACTACATTATGAACCTGTGCCACGAGGTTGCCTAGCTAAACAATGCTGGTAAAAACGTCTCTACTGAGCTTGGCCGGGCTAAGGCTTCTCTTGAAATGGCCAACGCTGACAACGTCAGACTCCTTGGCCAGCTCGATAGAGCTGAGCAAGAGAGGGACAAACTGAAGGCCCAACTTGAAGCTGAAAAACAAGCAAAGCAGGTCGCCGTGGATAAGGCCAACAATCTCGGTTCAAAGAAGCTGAAGACAATTATATCAAGCAAGTTGAAGCCACCAAGGACATCTACTTCAAGTCCAGTTGAAAGGCTGCTTGTGAAAAACTCGGCCAAGGATCTGAGACCGAGGTGTTTGCCTCTCCTCCCCCCACCTTCCTGCCGGCCTATCTGATACCTTATGCCAATGAAGTCTTCAACTCTTTGCAAGAAGAGGCGGAAGAAGAGGCCGAGGAAGAGGCCATCCAGAAGGAGCCCGACGAGAAGGAAAAGGCTGCTGTTGTCGACCTATAAGTCGTGACAGAGGGGGCCGGGGACGAGTTTGTCGACCTCTCCTCATTAGCATAGCTTTTTTATTTGAATTTTTATAACCGAGCTATAAGCCTCACCTTATGTACTAAAATTCTCAATCAATGAAAAGTTCGCATTTTGCTTATATTCTTGTAATTTATGTTGGTTTTAATTTTGCAACAGCGATATACGTGCCTGACAAGTTACCCACTGATTGAACCGGGAAAATTATCTCGGTCTTAAGAGACTGGGACAAAACATCCAGTCTTCAATGATTGGTAACCGAGAAAAATCGTTTTCGCTAAGATCCAAGAGTTAAATAATTCATTAACTGCTAATGGTTGAACAAAATCATCTTGGCTAACAGCTCAGAGTTGAACAACTCGTCAACTCTACTAGCCGGGGTAAATCATCTTAGCTACAATCCTAGAGTTAAACAAATCATCAACTCTTTTAGCCGGGGTAAAACATCTCGGCTAATATCTCAAAGTTGAGCAATTCATCATCTCTACTAGCCGGGGTAAAGCATCTCAGCTACCATCCTGGAGTTGAACAAATCATCAACTCTTTTAGCCGGGGTAAAACATCTCGGCTAAAATCTCAGTTGAACTTATTCATTAACTCTACTAGCTAGGGTAAAGCATCTCGGCTAGAATCCAAAAGTTGAACAAATCATCAACCCTTTTAGCCGGGGTAAAACATCTCGACTAAAATCTCAGAGTTGAACTTATTCATCAACTCTACTAGCCGGGGTAAAGCATCTCGGCTAGAATCCAAGAGTTGAACAAATCATCAACCCTTTTAGCCAGGGTAAGACATCTTAGCTTCAAGGGTGGGTGCCCCTCATGCACTGCAGTTCTTCAATCACAACAAACTTCCTATGTAAAATAATTCATTTCCATTAGATATTGCATTCATGAATTCACATAATGACTGAGAGGATTACATTGGTAAATGAAGGGGAAAACTTGTCCCTTTACAAAAAATTACATTGAAAAATGGAAACTAAAAATAAAACAACTTCAAATTGGCTGTGTTCCACGGCCGTGGTATAGCTTTGCCATCCAAGTCTTCCAAATGATATGCCCCTTTGCCAGCCAGACCGGTGATCTTGTAAGGACCTTCCTAGTTTGCCCCCAGCTTTCCTTCGCCCGGCACCAGGGTGTTGCCCATTACCTTCCTCAAGACCCAGTCCCCAATTTTGAATGGTCTGGGGTGAACCGTCTTGTTATACTTCCGAGATAGTTCTTGTTGATATGCTGCGACATGGATCAGGGTCTTTTCTCGGCGCTCTTTTGCGCGGTCCAATTCTAAGGCGATGGCTTCGGCATTCAAGTTGGGCTCAAAATTTTCGTTGCGGACAGTTGGTATACCGATCTCCAACGGGATGACTGCCTCCATATCATATGCCAAAGTGAACGGTGTCTCCCCAGTCAAGCGTCTTGGTGTTGTTCGGTAAGCCCAGAGAACATTTGGCAGTTCCTCGGCCCACTTTCCTTTGGCTTTCTCCAATCTCTTCTTCAGCCCATCCAAAATGGTCTTGTTTGATGCTTCGGCTTGGCCATTGGACTGAGGGTAGGCCGAGGTGGAATTGTAGAATTCTATCTTCAATTCCTCACAAAATTCTCTGAACAACCGTCCGTCAAATTGGGTGCCATTGTCAGAGATCAAAGCCTTAGGGATGCCAAATCGCGTAATCACATTCTGCCAAATAAATTTCTTGACATCCTTTTCTTTGATAAACGCCAGGGGCTCAGCTTCAACCCACTTGGTGAAGTAGTCTGTCGCCGCAATGAAAAACCTGCAGTTGCCCGGCGCTATTGGGAGTGGTCTAACTATGTCAAGCCCCCACATTGCGAAAGACCAAGGACTCGTGAGGGAGAGGAGTTCTCTAGCCGGTTGGTGAATTTGGTGGGCGAACTTTTGGCCTTTTTCATATTTTTTAACATATTTCTACGCATCTGCTTGCATGCACGACCCCCAGTATCCCTTCGAAATAGCGTGGTAGGCTAAAGATCTCTCATTGATGTGATTTTCGCACATGCCTTCGTGAAGCTCGTAAAGGAAAGCCTCAACGCTATTTGGATTAACACACTTGAGATATGGACCGGTGAACGACTTCTTATACAAAGCGCCAGATGGAGAGAGCCAAAACTGCTCAGATTTCACCCGGACTTTGTGTGCTTCCTTTTTGTCGATCGGCAGGATCCGTTCTTTAAGGAAGAGGATGATGGGGTCCATCCAAGAAGGACCATGCTCGGTGCAGAATACTTATGTCCGCTCGGGGTCTTTAATGCTGGGTCTTGGGAGGAATTCAATCAAGAGAGGGCTGGGAGTTGATTTGTCGACCATGGAAACTAGGCCGACCAACTCATCTGCATGGCCGTTATCTTCACGGCCAATTTGTTGGACTCTTATTGTTTGGAATTTCTTAATGTGTTCTCTCACTAAGGCTTGGTATTTGTCCATTCTATTATCTTTGGCTTCATACTCTCCAGACACTTGGTTTACAACAAGTTGGGAATCACTGTAGACCATCAGCTCGGATGCGTGCAATTGGAGCGCGCTTTTCAGTCTGGCTAGTAGTGCTTCATACTCGGCCTCGTTGTTTGATGCTACGAACCCGAGCATAATAGAATGTTCGATGGTTAGTCCGTCTGGCGAGATCAAGACTACGCATAGCCTGGCTCTATGCCGGTTTGAGGCACCATCTACAAAAAAGTTTCCACATTTCGCCAATGAAAATTTTCCAGGATTCTGAGGGATCTTGGGATGCTTGGAGGTTGAGGTGATCATGGTTGCTCGGCTACTCGGCTATTTCTACTACAAGCTTGCCGTTGACGATTGTAACAGATGTGTCTTTATCCCTCCTTGGCGATGCGGCGCTGGATCTAACAGGTTGACCTGTTATTACCAAATCCAATGTCGCATTGTCAGGCTGAAGTAAACCTTCAAGTGATGGATTTGTAAACGGGTGCGCAAGTTCCGCGTCGCCATCATCATTCGATCGTGCAATTTCCGTCGTGTTTACCCCTTCACCCCAGCTGCCTCGGTAAGATCCACTGGGCATACCGGGTGAATTCTAGGCGAGAATTCGGCAACAAAATCGACCAATGCTTGGGCTTTGATGGCGGTTCGAGGTTGAAATTTGACGTCGAATTGCCCCAATTCGACTACCCACTTCAGAATTCGGCCGGAGAAATCCGCCCGCTCAAATAAGACTTTCAAAGGGAATTCGGTCAACAGCACAATTGTGTGAGCATGAAAGTAGTACGCCAATTTCCTGGAGGCCATCATTAGTATCAAAGTAAGTTTTTCCAACGGCAAGTATCTTGACTTTGTCCATAGCAAGGTTTTGCTTACGTAGAAGATTGGGAGATGCTGGATACCTTCTGCCCAGACGAGCACTGCACTAACTGCAAGCTAAGAAACAGTCAGGTAAAGGTAGAGTTCTTCACCATGCTTAGGTGTGACCAAGAGTGGGGCGGAAGAAAAATATGTCTTTAGCTCGGCCAGGGCTCTGTCACATTCTTCGTCCCATGAAAACTTAGACTTCAAGGCTCGGAAGAAAATGCGGCAACGATCTGATGACCAGATTATGAATCGGTTAAATGCGACTGCCATACCAGCAAGATGTTGTATGTCCTTTGCTGAGTTGGGCTGCTTCAATTCTTGTATGGCTCTGATTTGTGAGGGGTCCGCTTTGATGCCTCGGTTGGTGACTAGGAAGCCTAGGAATTTCCCTGACCCCACGCTGAAGGCACATTTTGACGTATTCAGGTGTAGCTTGTGTTGTTTAAGAATGGCAAACATCTCTGCTAGGTCAGTCAAGCTGTCGGTCTGATATTTGCTTTTGACCACCATGTCATCAATGTAAGCCTCCATCGTGCGGCTAAGTAGAGGGGCGAACATCTTGCTCACCATTCTCTGGAACGTCGCCCCAGCGTTTTTCAAACCAAAAGGCATGACCCTATAGCAGAACAATCCCCTCGACGTCGTGAAAGAGGTTATCTTCCAGTCAGGTTCGTGCATGGCAATTTGGTGATAACTGCAATAAGCATCTAAGAAACTGAGTCGGTTGTGTCCGGCTGTAAGATCCACCAGTTGGTCGATTCTAGGCAAAGGAAAACTATCTTTAGGGCAAGCTCGGTTGACCGTCTTGTAGTCAACGCATACTTGCCATTTCTCATTCTTCTTGGGCACCACGACCGTGTTAGAAACCCGCCGAGGATAGTGCATTTCCTGGATTGCCCTAGCTTCGAGCAGGTTTTTGACCTCCTCCGCCACTACCTCGGCGTGATGAAAGGCTAATCTTCTCGTTCTTTGAATGACTGGCCGAGCGCCCGGGAAGACATTAAGTTAGTGACAAATAAAGCTTGGATCGATGCCAGGCATGTCGTAAGGCATCCATGCAACTATTTCAATATTCACCACCAGGAGCTCCACCATCTCCGTCCGTTCTTAGGCGGTCAGGCTGGATCCTAACAAAAAGAACTTGCCAGGATTATCTGCGCCGATCCGTACCTCCACTAAATCTTCAACAGCCTTTTCTGCGGCCCTAGTGCCCACATCATCCAGGATATTTTGATCTTTTGGGCCTTCAATCATTTGCACGAAGCCTTTTTCTGCTCGACTCTCATTCACTGCCACGAAACACTGCTTAGCCATGACCTGATCACCCCAAATCTCTTCAACCTCCCCCATAGTAGAGGGGAACCTCATAACCTGGTGGTAGGTTGACGCCACCGCCCGCATGGCGTGAAGCCATTCCCTACCTAGGATCAGATTGTATGTGGAGGGCACTTTCAACACCCAGAACTCCACCTGCTGGACCACGGATCCGGCTTTGACTGGTAGGATTATCTTTTCCATTGGCCACTCCAGTTGTGAGTTAAAACCAACCAGTGGCGAAGTTTCTAGAGCCAAATCTGTATCTTTGAGTTTGAGCTGCTTGAAGGCGTCATAATATATGATCTCGACTGAGCTACCTTGGTCGATCAAAATGTGCTTAACATCAAAGTCCTTGACGTGAAAGGTTACCACCAGAACGTCATTGTGCGGCATTTAAATGCGCTCAAGATCCCTGCTTGAGAAGCTTAGCACCTGTTTATCCTTAGTTCTGCCTCTTTTGACCATGGACTGGACTAACAGGGCTTCCCTCATATGTTCTGCTTTTTTGATCATCCCCCGGAGTTCGCAAACCCGCGCTGGTTCAACGATTCCATGGATCACATTGACCACTCTTTAGAAGGCTGTTTCTAGGGTGGCCAAACCACTTGGCTCAACCAGAGCATGGTGTGCGACCCTGACGCCCCCGTCGATGTAACGGTCCAAGTGACCAGCGGCGACCAACTCCTCCAAGTGTTGTTTCAGGGGAAAATAGTCCTCCGTTCGGTGCCCCCGCTCTCTATGAAAAGTGTAGCAGTACAGCGGATTGAAGCCCTTCTGCGCATCGCCCAACTTAGCCGGAAATCGAACGTAAACCTCGTCATGGATTTCGCTAAGTATGCGATAAATTGGGATCTTAAAAACCATAGTGATGCCCATTCGGGCATTCAACTTTCTGTTTGCATCTGCCACGTCATCGCGGGGATAATCTGCTCGGTCGTTGCGGTGACCTTTACCTTGGTTTCTATGATCTGGACCACGGTCTGATTCCTTTACACGGTCACTTGGACGGTTTGTCTCTCATCCAACCGTGTGGACTTTTCCAGCCACCCTTTTGTTCGTTGCCACCGGATTTGTCTTCGCGATGGCCACGGTCGCATCATCCTCTACTCGGATGTGCCCGTTGATGTGCTACATTAACAGCTCCATAGAAGTTGGTTGGTTCATCGTGAGCAAGTCCCTCAGTCTATGTCCGATCGGGAGATCGCACTTGTATTGGGTGATTACCAGGTTGGTCAGGCAATCAAGGATTTCATTGAAAGTTTCCCAATACCTGGCATTGTATGCTTTGAGGGAGTCGCCCGGTTCCATCTTGACACTCAAAAAGTGGTCAACTTCCTTTAGCGTTTTGGTGTTGGTTTTGAATCGGGTCACGAATGCTTCCGCCAACTGTTACCACCTTTCAATGCTTTCCTCCGGAAGCCTCTCAAACCACTTCAAGCTCAACTCGCCCAAACTTGATTGGAAAATGAGGCACATGAGAGCATCGTTATGCCTGTATCCAGCCATAACCTGCCGGAAATGGCTTATGTGCATGTACGGATCGATTTTTCCATCATAGAATGTAAATTTGGGCTGGTGAAAGCCCGTTAGGAGCGGCGTGGTCTCTGTCTCAAAGGAGAAAGAGGTGGCATTCAGCCTTGCCAAATCTTTGTCCAAAGGGACAGGTATAACTGAACAGGGTGGTGGCATTACGACTTCTTCACTAGCGTGACCTCCGTAGGATAACCGCTGGAGCGCCGGCACCCTCTGCGCCTCCCGTCGGCGCGCTTGTTCTTTCAAGACATCCCTCAAGTTTTCCGAACGAGCGAAGTAGGAATATCTCGACGTCGTCGGCAGACGTGAGGGACGATAACTGCGGTCTTGCGCACAAGACTTCTCTGCTGGCGGGTCAGAGTCTCCAACCCCATAGTTTCTGGTGATGGAGAGAGAGGACGTGTGCCACTAGTTCTGGCTACTTGAGCGACGGGGTTGGGTGCGCTCATTGTGGTCACCCACTTCAGCAACACCCTTGCCTTTGACTTGTCGCTTGAGAGCTTCCATCTCCGCCGCCATTCTCCGGATAACGGCATCTTGGTCCCTCAACTTGTGCTCCAGGCGTTAAGCGTGTGACTCTCTTCGCCACCGGTGCCCGTCTGGACTCCGCGAGTGATTAGTGCTCCTGGCGCGTTTGTCTCGCGCATCTGTAGGGAGTTCTCCCGTAGAGGTCTCTAGGCCAGCCATGTTCGGAACGGCGGGAAGTCCGTCTCTCCACCGGACTGACTATGAAGTAATACCGTTGATGGCGGACAATGGTACTTCGTCGTTGTTCGCCATGAAAGACGATTAGATGAACTTGGAGGACAAGGTTATGTCTGTTGAACTTCCCACAGACTGCGCCAATTGTACAGGGAGCAAATATCTGTCGCTATTCGTACTCCTTATGTCCAAACTACGCTTCACCCCGATCGACGTGAAAACACACTAACTATGAGCTACCCGGCATTGCACTGCCAAAAAACCCTCTGACGATCAAGTTAGCACATAGGGAAGGAAAGAGAAGAGAAGAGACAAAGTGGTAAGTGAGTTATGATCATAAGATGTTCCAGACCTTAGTACGGGGGCGCAGCCACGTTTATATACCTTTTATGCGTGCCTTTGTGTCCATTCACCGTTGGACGCATGGACCTGCTCTCTTCTCCTATTTTTCCATGTGTCAACGCAAATATAGCTAAACATTACCTAACAAAACTGTCAAACGGCGTTGCCGCGAACGGACAGTACAGCGCTGCTTCATTTTTTTACGACCGCGTTACTTCCGAGACATGCAATGCTCTAAACCAAGCTACGCCTAGCACGGCGCCACATTGTCACACCACGACCGTGCTAATTATCCAGCTAATCCCACTGCGGCTTAGCCGTCCTCAGTTATGACCGAGCTTCTGCTCGGTTGGACTAATCTGCGGAAGATCTAACCCGCCTAACTTAACGAGCAAATAAAATGAACCGGACTGGCATTCGATATTACCCCGGATAAATAGGACCAAGGCCTTGACCGAGCGCACTGCCCCCTGCTCAGCCCAACCCAGCTCGGCCCAAAACTCGCTTGGCCCAATTTAGCTCGGTCACTACCATGGCTCAATACCAGATTATGAAATCTCCCTCTCATATATATATATATATATAATTAGTTACATTTTTGTCCTCTTTATGTTTGGCCAATTTCTCACTTTGGTTCTTAAAGTTTATTTTTTTTCCAGTTTGGCCTTTCACGTGTCAAGTTTTTTTTCATTTTACTCCTAAAATTAATTTCTGATAAAAATTAGACAGAAAATGTCACAATAACTGCAATATAACGTAAAAAATATATTATTATATTGGAGTTTGAGTTTATGTCAGAGATATGAGTTATATATAAAATTATTTTTATATTACGTAACTGTTAATGTGTTATTTTCTGTTTGATTTTTAACACAAAGTAACTCTAGGAGTAAAATGAAAAAAAACTTAAAACATAAAGAGTTAAAATGAGGAAAAATAAATTTTAAGGGCCAAAGTAAGAAAATAGCCAAATATAAAAAGACAAATTATAATTTATCCCATTATTTTAGATAAATTACGCTTCAGATTTATATATATATATATATATATATTTAGTTCTATTTTTGACATATTTGCACTATTTACACTACCCTCTCTTGAGGTTGAGATTTTAATTTGCCCAATAGCAGGCTGAATTTGGGCACAAGCAAGCGGAGTCGCGGCTTTGAGCCCTGAAAATTTGAATAAAAAAAAATTTAATTTTGCTAATTATTATTGTAGCTTATAAAAAAAAAAGATTCATTAGAATTTAAAGGCTCTCAACAAAATTTAGTTATGATTTAAAATTAATAGATGGTTGATGTGATAAATTATTTAAAAATAATAGAGAGTTGTTTTTTATCAAAAGAAATCAAAAAAACTTATTGATGTGCATTGTTTGAAATTATTAAATGGTTATTTTCGAAATATATGGATTATATATAGAATACAATTAATTATATTATTTGCAGTTACTCTTTTCAAATTAAAGTTGATTATATCTTACTTTAACTCAACTATGTCAAATGAAAGATTTAAGGGCAAATTACACTAACAGTCCCTATAGTTTGGGACTCGTGTCACTTTGATCTCTAATTTTTCAATTGTGACACATTTGACCCTGAATTTTGAATCTTGTTTCAAATAAGGACAATTGAAGATACCATTGTTTAATTTCAATAGCAAAATCGTCAATTTAATAAAATAGAAACTAATTTGATAAAAATAAATGTCAAATTTTTTTTTTAATATTTTTAAAATTATTTTTATCCACCAATGATAAAATATGTAAAATTGATAAAAATTAATAAAAATTACATGATTAATTTTTAAAAATTAATTTTAGATGATCATCATCCAAACACATAATAAAAATTAATTTGGTAAAAAAAAAAATAAATGTCTAAAAGACTTATCAATTTTACATAATTTTTTTTTAGTAGGTAGAAATAATTTTTAAAAATTCTAAAATATTTGTTTGACATTTATTTTTGTCAAATTAGTTTATATTTTATCAAATTGACGATTTCACCCTTGAAAAATCTAATGATATCTTCAATTGCCTTTATTTGAAACAAGATTCAAAATTCAGGATCAAATGTGTCATAATTAAAAAATCAAGAATCAAAGTGACACAAGCCCCAAACTATAGGGACTATTAGTGTAATTCACCGAAGATTAAATGGATTAACAATTTATCCATCAAAAATGATTTTAGCTTATAAGTTGGATTATGCCAACTATATTAGTAATTTTATAGCTAAAAATGCCAGAATAATGATGTTTATTTGATTTTGTTACAGTTTGTTTACTTTTTATTTGATACTTCAGCTTAGATTATTTTGAAATTTTTTCTTATTGTAAGTTTTAATATATATTTAAGTAAATTTTAATAGATATATATTGTAAGTAACCTTTTTACAAGTATTGTCAAATATCAAAAATAAATAAATAAAAATTAGGTACATAATTATTTTTAAAAAAATATGTAGCCGATCCCATTTGATAGGACTTAAGGATTGGTTTAGGCTTCGTTTTAGAACAGACTATTTTAGTAATTTTTTGATTTTTTACAAAAAAATGTGCAAAAAAATGGAGAGATTGATTTAATAACTTATAATATTTTGACTTTTTGACTAAAATATATAGTTGACAAACGAGACCTTAGTTTGATTTACATATGAAGATCACATGTTGAAAGTTCACTTTGGGCCTTAAAAGCCTTTAAAAAGTCAGGGTCTGCCTTGCCTAACAATTAAATATTTTTTTATCAATAATTTATTATTAATAAAAAAAATAATGATGTCATCTCTTTTCTATTAAAATATAAATTTATTTTTGTTTATTTTAGTATCTACCTATAATCTGCATTAATTTTTAATTTCACTTTCGACATATTTACACTACCTTCCTTGAGGTTTAAATTTTAATTTATATAACAGTTAAACATTTTTTCATCAATAATTTATTAACCATATTAATAAAAAAAATAATAATGCTAAGAATCATGAAAAAAAATATCATGAAATGTATCATGAAGATTTTTCATCCTTTAATTAGTGTGCAGTGTTTTGTTGTGCATGTAATTCAAAGGTGTAGAATCTTTCATGATCATTATTATGATATTTTTTTCATGATTCCTAACATGATGATCTCATCTTTTTTTATTAAAATAAAAAAACAATGCCCAATTAATATACATTAATGTGTATTTAGAAAGAAAAATATTAAGTACACACCTAACTTTTAGCATAATGCACAAAGTGATGATTCTAAGATTTGAACTCATAATTTCAAGATTATTAGGCCAAATATATATATATATATATATTTTATTTCAATATTTGCATTAATTTTAGTCATTTAGGCCTCGTTTGGGAACATACTTTTTTAGTAACCTTTTGATTTTTTGGCTAAACTGTGATGTAAAAAAAACTAATATATTTGAGATGACTTTTTAACTTTTTACGAAAAGATATGCAAAAAATAGAGAGAAAATAAAATCTTTGATTTTTTGATATAAGTTGTTGACTTTTTAATTTTTTTAATAATTTTTTGATTTTTTGACTAAACCGATCGCTTCCCAAAGGAGGCCGTAGTCTTAGTAAAATAGAATTGAAGTCATAGTAATTATGATTACTCAAAACATATGGGACATAAAAAGTATTGAAACTCTAATATGTATTAATACACATTGATGCGCAATCAGTTTTAAGGTCCCAAATGGCACAATTCGGTGAGCGATTTACAAATGTGAGAGATTTACAAAGAACTCTCTCTCTCTCTCTCTCACACACACACACACACACACAGTAGAACATCACCCATCAACAAGTTTTCAAAGAACCAACCAAAGCAGCATCAAAGCATTAAGAATAATACTATATATACTAATTAATGTACTAACTATTATACTAACAGATGATGTGATATAATTTTAGAAATTTTGAATATTTATAGCTTGTGTAACAAGTAGAGTCAGTAATAATAACATAACATTAATTGATACATTAATTGGTACATGTAACACCACCGAACATTAAAGCAACGATAGTAGTAGAGCATCACCCATCAAGAACTTTTCAAAGAACCAACCAACGCAGTATCAAAGCATTAAAGCAATGATACCATCAAAGCATTAAAGGTCTTGCCAACAAGTGATCTAACAATATAAGAAAAAAGACAAAATAAATGTAAAACTCAATACACTTTTCATGGATTTTGTAACACTTTTTTACTCATTTTGAAACACTTTTTAACTTCTTCGTCATTTCCAAAACAATTTTTACATTAATGCCAACATTAAACAATGCATAGAGAGCACTTGTTAAGATTTACCTTAAAACAATAATGCTGGAGGACCACGCTTACCATAATCACAATCGAGTAAGCTTCCAAATATGCCCTCAATATCTTCTTCACAAGCCAAACTCACCATTATCGCAATTGACTTATGCTTCCAAATATGCCCTCAATATCATCTCACAAATCGAAGTTACCATAACCACAATTGAGTTTACTTCCAAATATGCCCCCAATATCGTTTTCACAAAACATCTTAGCAAGCTACTTGTAACAAGACCTCAAACGCATTCCTCTCCAAGCAAAAAAAAGTCAGTCCCTCACTTTGACAACAGCGACAGAAGACTATCCACCTAGTAATCTAGTCTAATGAACTTCATATACACTACAAAATTACAAAGGGACTTTACTTATATCAAACTTGACAAAAGATAAAATTCAAGCCAAGAGAAGTACTTCGCCAAGTGAACCTGTGACACGAAGCATAATAAACAGTTACTTAAGCTAGCTCAAAAGCAATAAGAAAATAGGTTTGTTTGGTTTAATTTTCAAAAATTGTTTTTTGACTTCTTGTTTTTCCATTTTTTTTGTGTGTGTGTGTGTGTGTGTGTGTTTAGTGAACTGTTTCTTATTTATTTATTTATTTTTACACTTTCTAGATACATCAAGGGAAACTTTAAAAAAAACAAACAAAAACAAAAACAAAAAATGGGCACATTTTTGTGTTTTTTTGCCTTTTAGTCAATTTTCTTCAGATTTCTTCACATATGATTTACTTTTTCGATGCGTCTAAAAGTAATAAAAATTAACTAAAATATGAAGAAAAAAAAATTCTATTAAAGACAAGAAAACTCAAAAAACAAGAAGTCAGAAAACAGTTTTTGAAAACCAAACCAAAGAAAAGTTTGCTTCCTTACATTGGTCATAAATCTCTTTCACGAACTGTAGCATTAACTCGTTTTCTTCTGCCATTTTTGTAATTCTTTCTGCCTCTCTAACTGCTTCAGCTGCCACAGACGACTTGTTCTCTGCTTCAGCAACCTTGCGGGCAGTAGTCCTTGCAGCTTCTTCCACCGTCTCACGAGTGATTACCAACCCAGAATTCTGCGGTGGCCTTGACCTGATGTCCTTCTGCTTTGGAGTAGGCGTTTTAGTTCCCAACATTGCTGGTCTTTTAATCTTGTAGCAATTCTGGACCTGCATATTGGAAAGACACGACAACGCGTAACATGTGTGCAAATGGGGCTTTTATGTAAGAAAATGTGGTATCAGTATAGATACAGATAATGCTAAATCAGTTTAATGTAAAGTCATTGCAAACGAAGGGTGTCCTTTATTCCAAAAGTAGTTTGTCAGTACACGCCACGCCTCGCCTAAACCATATAGGTTATGGAAGCTTGTTAATTCAAAAGAAGACAGATAGCCAAGATGCACAATGAAAAACATGGAAGGCAACGAACAGAAGTATGCGATCTCTGCAATATGGTTAGGGCTGCAACCCAAGCAGGCTGAGGGTCTGTTAAGTTCAGCCCGAAGTGTAGAGGAATTTACCCAAGTCTGAAGTCTAGCCTGAGCCCGACCCCAAGCTTATCTCAAAGAGCTGAGGTTAGGTTCAGGTTGTCCGAAGTCGACACACAAAATTTACCTGGGGCTTAGCATTGAGCTGTCATAAAGTAATATTGCACTTCTTCAAAATAAAAGAGAGAACATCTCAAAAAAACACCATTCTCCAGAGCTCCATCTTTACCCAACAAAGGTTGTCATAAGCTATGTTATATGGACTCTTCAAAATAAATCAAATACTTGCGTTGAACACCTAACACTCGGACAAGAGTGTGGGATGTGTCCACTACTTTCCATCAGAAACTTGTATATTTGTATTTGACACTGTCATCATGCGTATATATTGTTTTATAATTGTCATAAAATGAATAAAATGCTTGTTTGACACTATATGTTATATATAACATTATTTTATTTCACATAATAGATTAAAAATATAAAAATATGAACATTTTATGCCTAATCCGTGTACTCTTAAATTTGAGGTTTGATGGATTCACTTAGAAAATATGAGGAAGAAGAACTCCGAAAATATGAAGAAGAAGGAATATATTTCTGTTATATTCAAAACTTCTTATCTTACAAGACCAAATGACACTCCTTATATAGGAGATATTACAAACATCATTATAACCCATTATATGCCACTTACATATTATATATTACCACTATCTACCACTATCATATTATATACATGCCACTATCTACCACCAACACCACTATCATATTATATACATGCCACTATCTACCACCAACACCACTATCATATTATATACATGCCACTATCTACCACCAACACCACTATCATATTATATACATGCCACTATCTACCACCAACACCACTATCATATTATATACATGCCACTATCTACCACCAACACCACTATCATATTATATACATGCCACTATCTACCACCAACACCACTATCATATTATATACATGCCACTATCTACCACCAACACCACTATCATATTATATACATGCCACTATCTACCACCAACACCACTATCATATTATATACATGCCACTATCTACCACCAACACCACTATCATATTATATACATGCCACTATCTACCACCAACACCACTATCATATTATATACATGCCACTATCTACCACCAACACCACTATCATATTATATACATGCCACTATCTACCACCAACACCACTATCATATTATATACATGCCACTATCTACCACCAACACCACTATCATATTATATACATGCCACTATCTACCACCAACACCACTATCATATTATATACATGCCACTATCTACCACCAACACCACTATCATATTATATACATGCCACTATCTACCACCAACACCACTATCATATTATATACATGCCACTATCTACCACCAACACCACTATCATATTATATACATGCCACTATCTACCACCAACACCACTATCATATTATATACATGCCACTATCTACCACCAACACCACTATCATATTATATACATGCCACTATCTACCACCAACACCACTATCATATTATATACATGCCACTATCTACCACCAACACCACTATCATATTATATACATGCCACTATCTACCACCAACACCACTATCATATTATATACATGCCACTATCTACCACCAACACCACTATCATATTATATACATGCCACTATCTACCACCAACACCACTATCATATTATATACATGCCACTATCTACCACCAACACCACTATCATATTATATACATGCCACTATCTACCACCAACACCACTATCATATTATATACATGCCACTATCTACCACCAACACCACTATCATATTATATACATGCCACTATCTACCACCAACACCACTATCATATTATATACATGCCACTATCTACCACCAACACCACTATCATATTATATACATGCCACTATCTACCACCAACACCACTATCATATTATATACATGCCACTATCTACCACCAACACCACTATCATATTATATACATGCCACTATCTACCACCAACACCACTATCATATTATATACATGCCACTATCTACCACCAACACCACTATCATATTATATACATGCCACTATCTACCACCAACACCACTATCATATTATATACATGCCACTATCTACCACCAACACCACTATCATATTATATACATGCCACTATCTACCACCAACACCACTATCATATTATATACATGCCACTATCTACCACCAACACCACTATCATATTATATACATGCCACTATCTACCACCAACACCACTATCATATTATATACATGCCACTATCTACCACCAACACCACTATCATATTATATACATGCCACTATCTACCACCAACACCACTATCATATTATATACATGCCACTATCTACCACCAACACCACTATCATATTATATACATGCCACTATCTACCACCAACACCACTATCATATTATATACATGCCACTATCTACCACCAACACCACTATCATATTATATACATGCCACTATCTACCACCAACACCACTATCATATTATATACATGCCACTATCTACCACCAACACCACTATCATATTATATACATGCCACTATCTACCACCAACACCACTATCATATTATATACATGCCACTATCTACCACCAACACCACTATCATATTATATACATGCCACTATCTACCACCAACACCACTATCATATTATATACATGCCACTATCTACCACCAACACCACTATCATATTATATACATGCCACTATCTACCACCAACACCACTATCATATTATATACATGCCACTATCTACCACCAACACCACTATCATATTATATACATGCCACTATCTACCACCAACACCACTATCATATTATATACATGCCACTATCTACCACCAACACCACTATCATATTATATACATGCCACTATCTACCACCAACACCACTATCATATTATATACATGCCACTATCTACCACCAACACCACTATCATATTATATACATGCCACTATCTACCACCAACACCACTATCATATTATATACATGCCACTATCTACCACCAACACCACTATCATATTATATACATGCCACTATCTACCACCAACACCACTATCATATTATATACATGCCACTATCTACCACCAACACCACTATCATATTATATACATGCCACTATCTACCACCAACACCACTATCATATTATATACATGCCACTATCTACCACCAACACCACTATCATATTATATACATGCCACTATCTACCACCAACACCACTATCATATTATATACATGCCACTATCTACCACCAACACCACTATCATATTATATACATGCCACTATCTACCACCAACACCACTATCATATTATATACATGCCACTATCTACCACCAACACCACTATCATATTATATACATGCCACTATCTACCACCAACACCACTATCATATTATATACATGCCACTATCTACCACCAACACCACTATCATATTATATACATGCCACTATCTACCACCAACACCACTATCATATTATATACATGCCACTATCTACCACCAACACCACTATCATATTATATACATGCCACTATCTACCACCAACACCACTATCATATTATATACATGCCACTATCTACCACCAACACCACTATCATATTATATACATGCCACTATCTACCACCAACACCACTATCATATTATATACATGCCACTATCTACCACCAACACCACTATCATATTATATACATGCCACTATCTACCACCAACACCACTATCATATTATATACATGCCACTATCTACCACCAACACCACTATCATATTATATACATGCCACTATCTACCACCAACACCACTATCATATTATATACATGCCACTATCTACCACCAACACCACTATCATATTATATACATGCCACTATCTACCACCAACACCACTATCATATTATATACATGCCACTATCTACCACCAACACCACTATCATATTATATACATGCCACTATCTACCACCAACACCACTATCATATTATATACATGCCACTATCTACCACCAACACCACTATCATATTATATACATGCCACTATCTACCACCAACACCACTATCATATTATATACATGCCACTATCTACCACCAACACCACTATCATATTATATACATGCCACTATCTACCACCAACACCACTATCATATTATATACATGCCACTATCTACCACCAACACCACTATCATATTATATACATGCCACTATCTACCACCAACACCACTATCATATTATATACATGCCACTATCTACCACCAACACCACTATCATATTATATACATGCCACTATCTACCACCAACACCACTATCATATTATATACATGCCACTATCTACCACCAACACCACTATCATATTATATACATGCCACTATCTACCACCAACACCACTATCATATTATATACATGCCACTATCTACCACCAACACCACTATCATATTATATACATGCCACTATCTACCACCAACACCACTATCATATTATATACATGCCACTATCTACCACCAACACCACTATCATATTATATACATGCCACTATCTACCACCAACACCACTATCATATTATATACATGCCACTATCTACCACCAACACCACTATCATATTATATACATGCCACTATCTACCACCAACACCACTATCATATTATATACATGCCACTATCTACCACCAACACCACTATCATATTATATACATGCCACTATCTACCACCAACACCACTATCATATTATATACATGCCACTATCTACCACCAACACCACTATCATATTATATACATGCCACTATCTACCACCAACACCACTATCATATTATATACATGCCACTATCTACCACCAACACCACTATCATATTATATACATGCCACTATCTACCACCAACACCACTATCATATTATATACATGCCACTATCTACCACCAACACCACTATCATATTATATACATGCCACTATCTACCACCAACACCACTATCATATTATATACATGCCACTATCTACCACCAACACCACTATCATATTATATACATGCCACTATCTACCACCAACACCACTATCATATTATATACATGCCACTATCTACCACCAACACCACTATCATATTATATACATGCCACTATCTACCACCAACACCACTATCATATTATATACATGCCACTATCTACCACCAACACCACTATCATATTATATACATGCCACTATCTACCACCAACACCACTATCATATTATATACATGCCACTATCTACCACCAACACCACTATCATATTATATACATGCCACTATCTACCACCAACACCACTATCATATTATATACATGCCACTATCTACCACCAACACCACTATCATATTATATACATGCCACTATCTACCACCAACACCACTATCATATTATATACATGCCACTATCTACCACCAACACCACTATCATATTATATACATGCCACTATCTACCACCAACACCACTATCATATTATATACATGCCACTATCTACCACCAACACCACTATCATATTATATACATGCCACTATCTACCACCAACACCACTATCATATTATATACATGCCACTATCTACCACCAACACCACTATCATATTATATACATGCCACTATCTACCACCAACACCACTATCATATTATATACATGC